GAAAAACCCTGATACATTTACCAAATCATTTATATATAAAATAAAAAAAAAAATTGGGTCAAGCACAGAACCCTGAGGCACATCAAAAAATATGACAGAGTTCAGATTTTACATCATTTATTTGTACAAATTGTTTCCTGTTTGTCAAATAACCAGAGAGACACTGTGGTGCTGGTCCTCGAATCCCATATTTATTCAGCTTTTTGAAAAGAATAATGTGGTAAATGGTGTCAAATGCTTTCTTTAAATCAACATAAATGCTAATACAATACTATTTTTGATCAACAGCAGTTATTTGTTCAATGAATTCCATTAGAGCCTTTGAGTTGGGATTTTTTTTTCTGAACCCATATTGACTGTTATTTAGAATATACTGTATTTTTTATCAATAAACTGATCTAATCTGGTCACAAATAGTTTCTCCAAAATTTTTGAAAATTGTGGCAACAGTGATATTGGTCTGTAGTTATTAAACATACATCTCTCACCGTTGTTGTACAGAGGAATTACCTTAGCTATTTTCATTCTATCAGGAAACATTCCTGTTGAAAATGACAAATTACAAATATGTAAATGGATCAACAACACGACTCATTATTTCTTTCACAAGCATCATATCCATATCCATCCGGTCTTTTGATTGTTTGCCAGCAATTTTTTCTTACAATACTCAGTATTTCGTCTTTATCAGTTTCACCTAGAATAATACTGTTGGTACAACCCCTAACTGTATGGCACACATTTTTATCTACCTTAGGTATTTCAGCTGCAAGGCCTGGGCCAACATTGACATAAAATTGATTGAATTCATTTACTATCATATTTTGATCATAACTTTCCTTGTCATCTTTCACAAAATACTGTGAAATATCTGACAGGGCTTTATTGTTTTTCAGGACACTATTCATTACTCGCCATGTTATTTGAGTATGTATCCCATTGTCCGTTATATTGTTAATATAATGCAAGTTGTTGCAGTGATCAAATTGTGTATAAACCTAAAAATAACAACAGCAAATTAAACGAAATACATTTATACTCAGACAATACGACACGCTTGTCTTTAAGTCCTGTATTTTATTCTTATTCTAACCAACCACAAAACATGAACTCTTGTTCACACTATAATGTTTTAGACAACTTCTTGTTCGTGCTTTACAGCATCATGTACAGCAAACTTTTCAACTTGTGAAAAGTTTGTCTAAAAATATTTAAGCTGAAGATGTAATAACAAAATCAAAGAGAAGCCTCTTTTTGACCTATACATACTATGATGCTAACAATTAAATGGAATATTTAGCCAATATGAGCAGTCATAACAAAATGTTCATAAGTTGGCATAAGTTGTCTAAAACGTTGGTGTGACAGGGCCTTAATATCTAAATACAGTTTTTTGCATTTCATGATTTAGAATCTTAAAAGTTACTCTGTTTACTAAAATATGACACCACAACTCATAGCTAGCTGGCAGTAGGATTAGTTGACAAATTGAGAACAATTTTTTTTCATGCATTTTGAGTCCTGTTGGTGAAGAAAGATGTGAAGGACATTAAAAGTCATTTATCAAACTAATCTACATTTGTCTGACTCCAATATGTAGCTCATTAGTCAATTCATTTGTCAGTGTCCCACAAACTTGTAATGCTAATCATGCAAACACAGATATTTCTGCTTCATAGCTCACTAACATCCTTCACTTCCATTTTCCCCTCCTTCATTATCGTCAGCCTTCGTCAAAGTCAACACAAGGACACGGCAACAAATCGTTTCCCTAGCTCTGACAGCAAACCAAGATTTAAGCAATTAGATGTAATGAAATAAAAATAAATATGAGCCAAAGAAATAATGTGAAATCACTGAACTGTATTTATTTATTTCATGTGTCACTGGTTGCAAATAAGTATTCGAAGCAAAAATCACAATCTTTGTGAGCTTTGTTGTGAGAAGACAACAAACACAAGGCAAACAAACAAAACAAAACAAAACAAAACAGCAAAAGAATTCATGTTCTCTTACAGAAATAGTAAATGAATACATAGAGTTTAAACATACCTATCAGAGAGTAGGAAGGGACAGACGTCAGGCACAGGAGGGGTGGAAGGCCGGAGCTTTGCCAGCGCCATGATGTGTTCGAAGGTGATGTCAGTCTGAGTGCACACGTCCACCACGTGGATTTCCTGAAGAGGACCGTGGGGGCGGCCGCTGGGGGTACGTCTGATGACCTGCACCACGACGGGGTCTTTGGCAGATCGAAAAGCCTCCACAGTCTCCTCATGGCTGGATTTGGACAACTCCTTCCCATTTACCTGAAAGTGACAAAATTTAACAGCAAATTAAATGAAAGAAAGGATAAATAAATAAATAAATAAATAAATAAATAAATAAATAAATAAATAAATAAATAAATAAATAAATAAATAAATGCTTTACGTTTTTTGTTTGAAGTTAAAGTTCTGATTGTTGAAAATCATTTTTGCAAATACACTTACTTTTTGTCACAGAGTAAACTAACTTGTAGATTGGCTTTTAAAGTATCTTAGTAAAAAAAAAAAACATTTAAATTTGACCATACTAAGAAGCTAACAGCTAATATGTGCATGCAAGACAAAGTAGAATGCTACTGTTTAAAAATAACTCCAATATCAAAAACTTATTGGCAAGCCATGAGAACACCATGTTTCAAAATATTTACAAAAAATACGATATTCCTGCCAGAAAATGCCCAAGGCTGTGCTGTAAGTGCCACAGCTAACTGCTGCTGCTACTTGCATTCGCAAATAATCATAGGATTCTATAAAATTCACCAAGTAATGCAAAACAGATTTTTTTATTCTATTTATTAACCTTTAGTTAAGCAGACAAATCCCATTGAGATCAGAGACATGTTTTGCAAGGGAGGCCTGGGCCTGAATATAACATGTTGTACATATTTTTAGTTTGTGAAAAGAAACCAAAGTACCTGGAGTAAACCCACGCAAGCAAAAGGAGAACAGGCAAACTTCACACAAAAAGACACCAGGTCTAATGGTACGTTCACACCGAACGCGTTTTGAGCGGCAGTAGCGGCCGGTTTACATGCAAAGTCTATGGTGGACGCGCCTCTAGGGGTCGTGCGTCGCGTCACGTACATTTTGGGCGGCGCGCAAGGAAGGCGGAAGGGGTGCAGAGCGTTTTCCGCACATGCGGTGCTGCGGAAGCAGCCGCCGCCAGAGTTCAAAAATCTGAACTTTTCGCCGCTCGACGCGTCTCCCACTGAAAACCGAAACAGATGGACTGGAGATCTTTACCTGAAATCGACCGTGTGCAGTTGGGTTTTCTGGCAGGATATATCAGCACCGATGTGGATCAGCTGCTCGGGACAAAAAAAAATAAGTCCGTCAGCTGGCAGCTTCTGGAGTGACGAAACGAACCGAACAAATCACCTCTAAATCATCTGGTGAGTTAATTATGTGCTGTGCACAATGTTCACTTGCTCTTTAGTAAATAAATCTAAGCCTTTTTCTTTTATTTTATCTTTATTTCACCCACCGAGGACAGACGCTCCTCCCACACCCCGCTGCTGCTGTTGTTGCTGCTTGTTCTGGTCTGAACACTAGTGCGTTCTTCGGTCTGAAAATAGTGCGTCCAACGAGAGGCGTTTTGCGCTTTTTGGCCGCTCAAAACGCGTTCGGTGTGAACGTAGCATCAACTGGGGTTTGAACCCAGGACCTTCTTGCTGTGGGGCATCAATGCTAACCACTGAGCCATCATGCTGACAAATGTAAAATGTAAAAGTTTATCAAATTTTATGTGCATTTCCAAGTACACAAAGTTCAGCAATTTACTTTAGTCTTGGCCTCACATAGACTAGCAGTTAGCTTGTCAACCTGGTCAAAATCAGCAGGTAAGATATTAACTGTTCACTACTTCTCCATTGAACTCCACTTCAAAGAATCTGTTATTTGTTTAAAAATAGATATATTTTTTTCTTTGAAAACTTTTAATCTCAATATTGTTGATACTTATATAATGTTTAAAATACAAATCTGTAAATGTGATTTTTTAACAGACTCTTCATTTACTTCTTAACACATGAATTTTTTTTTACCATTTTTAAAATAAAACTAACTGATTCTTATTGAATTGAATGCATTTTCAACAAATGAGTAAAGATCTTCATAAATTCAATACAAGAAAACAAACACAAAACATGATGTGATGGAATGTTCAACATATTAAATTAAAGCTAAAAAAGGCCCCAGTTCACTTATTCTATTTTCAACCTCATCCGCACAAAATGAACAAGATTTTCTGGTAGACTGAAAACCATTTACACCACAGCTGGCACATATAAAGAAAATCATAGCTCCATTTAGCCCAGTAATTTCTCTGAAGGAGGAACTGCAAATGAGGAATACTGAGAATGTGCTTTAGTTAAAATGCTGAAAGAAGAGATTCTAATTTAGATAACCAAGAAAGGTAGAATAAAACTATAATTTAAACACAGCATAATTACACAGTGTTCTGTTTAAATATGGTTTTGGAGCCGAGCTTTTCCTTCACTTGGCAAGATCAGAAATCAGTTAAAATGATAAAAGAAAAAGAAATCATTTATATTCACAAGTGCGAGATAAAGAAATTGAAAGCAAGCGTGCAAAAAGACTCAGAAGAGTGTTTTGGGACCTGAATCAAAAATCTCTTTAAACTCAAACATCTAAGTCGATATAAAAGCTCACATATAGCCACGCTCTGACTCTCAGAAAATGACCTACATTCAAAAGTGATCAAGTCAAAGACAGAAACCACCAAGGAACTCTTACAGAGAAGCTTTACATTTTGTAGTGTAGAAACCCCACCACTAATTCTTCATTCATGTATTTTACAAACATTAAGCTGAGGGAATACAGAATGGCTCCATGTGTTTTTAAAATTTCACAACATGAATGATCATTAAAACCAGGTCGAGCATGGAAATGTTGTTATGACTTGCCACCAAAAGACTGTGCGTGCGACTGTTAGCAAACTACCTCATAAACAAGTGGATGGATTTGAAACTCTTTATTAGTACCCACGTAACAAAATTAGTTTGGCCCATATCTGGCCCACACAATGCACTCTCAGCCCAGATACAGGAAAGGATGACGGCCCTTTGGTGGCCAAGATGTGGCCTGCCAGAGGTGGTCTATACATGGGCCAGGACTACATAAACCAAACCACAACTGGGCCAGTTGTGGTATTCCATCTTAAAAACAGTGCCACCATTGCCAGACCTGGCCCAAAACCTGTTAACAAAGCACCTGCCATGCCAGCAGTGGCAGCTTGACACCAGATCTGGCCCACACTTGTCTGCTATGGATACTCATTGGGTGAACATCTACAACTGATTAACGTTTGGTAAACCCATTCAATTTGATGGCCAAAGCCAACTGGCTCTCAAAAAATACTAAAGCTCCACTAATTTTGCAGATGATGAGGTAAAAAGGGAGGTGGGGGGGGGGAGGGGGCACGCTGCGCTGCGCTGTGGCTTCTGAATAAATGAAAATGATTTAACACAGTTGTTT